AATAGAGTGGTTGGCGTCACCTCGTTGCCCTTTCATCAAGGTGGACGGGTTAAGGTGGAGCTAGCGAAATCACGCCCTGATCTAATGTTTATAACGCAGTATTTTCGTTATACTTTATAGTTACTGAAGCAGTGAGGGTTACCTGGACTAGGTCTTCAGGGTCCTCAATTTGGCCCGATACCTTTTACCTCTCCGGGAATTCTACAGAGGGGGCTACGCAAACCATGGGGCATCCCCTATGACTAAATCTAGGAGGGTACACAATAACTTTAGGAAAATTGAAAGGTGTTCACCTACCAAGGGGTCCCTGCTCCCCAGCCTATGACTCATGGTTAGTACTGTTTTCAAAAAGAGAACATGTTTAGCGCGGTTCAAAATGCATTGCTACCTAAGTGACCCCGTATCTTGCGATAGCGCCCTACAGAGTTCATCCACTTCTGAAGTTCGCTGTGTCGACAATCTTTCTGCCTTCCTGAATCATTCAACAGCAGGATGTTTGAGGGGAACCTCACTTGTTTTGGTCAGCATCTCTATGTTAGTCCGGAAGAATGATCCATCTCGAACCTTGTGGCTTGCAAAACGCGGCAACTCTACCTAGCGCACGTAGTAGGAGGGGATCCTCGTCCTTAGTGCCTTCCAAACCTTCGACGGACTGCCGATTTCCCATAGCTGATTTTTTAGAATATCGACGCCAATCCCTCGTCATCGAAACGCAAAATTCAAAAGGCAGCCACCGATGAGATCGGCGGACTATTCGATGTGATCTGCTCAAGTCATGACTTCAGTTATTTAGCCAATACACAGGTAAGCATAAGCATTTCGCCTCAACTTTTATTACGGTAACAAAAGATACGGTAATCATTTTCAGGTATTTTGTGAAGCCGGAAATGACGATGTGACGTGTTTTGCGTTCCTACACTCAATAATCCAATAGAAATGACGTTTTCGCTCAAACCCGATGAATCAGATCTGATTGTGCAATAAATTATACTAAGTAAACTGATTTCCGCATCTTTTATACTCTGGCGACACAACCGCGAAAGCACCGCAACGCACATGTGACGCGCGTGACAGCGCATCCACTTGTTCAAGGCTCTTATTGTCGCGACCCATTTCATTTATGCCAGTTTCTGCCAGAGTTCTACCTGAATGCGACGGATGCTAGATTAGGGCGGGGCAGTCGCCTGCCGCGGACGTGGCGTGTTCGGGGGGAAAACTTCATGGACTGTTTGAGCCATAGGGAATGTAGCTAATTCAGGAAAAGGAAGCGGGGGGCGGTCACTCCGCATGTGTGAAGAGCAGGAACGTTGCGAGTTGACACTATCTCGCAAAAAGGTCGCTGACACGCCTCACGCGCAGCAGCGGCGAATGTCCCTCCCCCCCACAGACTAAGTTAGCACCCCGAATCAGTCGAGAGCGTTGTAAAGAGTGATTTTCGAAGCAAGCTATTTGAGTTCTGAAGGCAGGGGCTGACTTGAAGTGTGCCATTTATGTTCAACTGAACATTCGACTACCATTGACACCCTCAACCACTGCAAACGGGGGAGGGGTAAGGGGAGAGGGCGAAGAGGCACGCATCGACCACGAACCACAGTTGCCGTCACACAGCGGTGAAAAGCATGATCGACAGATGCATAGCATCACACTGACGTTAAAAATACCACGTTTTGGCAGGCGGGGGTCATGTGCTTTGCAGCTAACGTCAGCTGTAATCGATTCATAAGTTTTGTGAGGGTAACGAGGTGCAAGTTAGCCAAGGGATAAATAGTGTTTTTGTATTGTAAGCTTAACCATCATCAGGCACAAACGCTTCATTGAGCTGGGATGACAAAAAAAATAATTATCTGTAAATACACAATTCTTCGACTAGCTGGCCTGAAATCTGTGAAGGGATTTGGCGGATAACATTTTGAAAAAAGACAAAAATAAAATGACATCGAAAAAACATACGAAGACATCAGACTGAAAATAGAACGCGATACAAAAGAGAGAAAAAGAAAACGACAAAAAGGGTGCTGAAATGAATACGGGCTGAGGAGAAGCGTAGCAATTAGGTTCTCTGACTAGTGACCAGATCGTGCTTGATGGCTTTTTCATCCAGATCGGACAGATCAGATGCTTGAACCTAAAATATTAAATGTTGATAATGGAAATCAATCAATAGCGATCAATGAACAGTCAATAATACTGAGTACAAGATCAAAAGGGGAGTGGGAAAGAGATCGGCAAAGAAAGAAGGGTGTTGTAGAAGCCTCTCCACTCCCATTCTTAATCTTGAATATGCCCCCCAACCACGCATTCTTGATCCAGTACAACGGGGTGGGGGGGGGGGAACTATTCAGGTCCTAAGCAAGTCTCGTAACCCGCTAAGAACTTCTTTTTTGAAAGCAATCGAAGGTGGTGAAGGCTACCCACTGATTCTTTATTTGATACGTCCCTCAAATTTTACAGAATAAAATTTTCCCATAGACTGCAGCCAATAAATAAAACAATGCTGCCAACTGTTGCGCCCACCTGCATCAGCGATTCGAGACCAAGCGTCGATTTCAGGGCACGAACTGACGAAGCGTAAAGCATTCGACGACGTACAGGTGCTTCATCCGGACAACTATAAAAGATCATGTTGAGTTCCTAATTTGGTTGATATTGACAAATTCAGATTATACCATTTGACTGGTGGAAAACTCACTATTGCACAAATATAACCTTGTTCAGTTTACTGCCACCTTCAGTACCTTGACGTTGCACTTGTACTTCAACATCTACTGCCGCATATCTGAAATGAATCGCCTAACTCCTCAGATAGACCACCACAGAAGTCATCTGGTGATTGAGAGTTCTCAGGGCGATTACCTGCATTCTTTGCCTCCATCAACAGCTTTCCTCATCTCTTCTACAAACTCGGAATACGGTGCTCCTTTATCGCCGACCTTCTCCACAACGATGGCTGTGTCATTTTTGTCGATCTGAAAATATTACGCTAGACCGATTAGGGAGAAGTGCGGGTTCGAGTCCAGCCTAGGGCAAATGTACTGTTCATAACCCATCAATCTTTCTGAACAGAATTGTTGTATCAATTTTATTTGATCGACAACTGATCAGCATTAATTAAGGAACAGTACATAAGTAGGTATAAGGCAAGGCTGCTTCACAATCTGGATAGCGCATTGCGCCTTATCAGAAGCAGATTTGCTTGCTCAGTCAGTGCATTTTAAAAAGAATTATTCATTAACCATGCGCGTCCCATCAAATAATTGTTGACAGTAAGTACTTTGAACGAGTAAATTATTTGCACTAATGATTTCATTTTAGAACTGGGAGTATCTGGCTTGTTAAAAGCTCATTCTAATGTTTGTTTATTATTTATTGTTTGTTGTTTTAATATTACGTTGCGTAAGGCAAACGTTAGAAAAGAATATATTACACATTGAAGAGAAAATAATGAGTCAAAACATTATGGAGATGGATTTCAGGTGAATCTCAAATGACTAGGATATTCTGTGACTTAGAAGTTTAGTAGAAACTTCGCATGATATGGGGTCGTTCATATTTACAAAACAGAAGGTTGAAAGAAGAGCCCGAAGCTCGTAAGGACGTGACCAGGCGTTATTGGATTACACCCGCTATGCACGAATTCATATATTCATCGCTATAGTAAAACCCAAAAAAAACTCCGAATCGTTGCCCTGGACTGTCATCGCCCGCATATCCAAAGGAAATTATGTGTTACTAATAAATTAAGACTACATAACCAGTGTTTCGCGCAGCCTCAGGCAATTCCAATTGAAACGAAGTTGCAAAACCAAACTTCTGGAAACTTAATAGGCAATTGCATAATATTTCGTGTCCATAAAATTTCTCCAGCTTTTGTGTAATATAGGGAAAGATTTTGAATAGGTACGGATTCAATGTACCAACTGTCTGAATATAGAGAGAATGCACGGCGCATCCCAAAGTCGGATAAATCAACGCCGAATGCTTGAACCTTTACGATTATGGGAAAAGAAGAAATGCATGATGGCTGAAGGTATACTTTTATGGACTATCGAAATTGTATCTCGGCCGTTGAATAAAACGTTTCATTGTTAAGCACACCGTATCAGACCCAAAAATGACACCAAACCAGGTACACACGCGTACGGACTATGCAGTGGCTCACATAACACGCATGCCAATGTATACGATTGGAATGAACCAAACCGGTCTCGGATACATGGCGCCTTCCCGGAGACACCGGTCAACACTACTATTCATCAGTCGGGTTGTCATACTTTCTCTGGATGAATGGATAGGGAGGCGTCACATGGGCGATCCCATTTGCATGGAGTGCACAGAACCGGAATTGCCCACAATTGTCCGCTGCTGCGTGCGTCGCCAACTCGTACCGTATCACTCAGTGTAATTGCTTCAGATAATGATAATTATAATTTGGGTCTAAAACTGCCTGAGGTATAAAAAAAGAGGCGAATAGCTTCGCTGTCCTGATGCCAAGGCTAGAGGACGGAACAGAATGTGTTGCGCGGACGAGTTGTCCGGCCACTGCAGGACGTGTAATTACTGCCTTTGCGCTCCAATGCCAATGGGATCGCGCCATGTGACGCACACTCGAGGTGATGATTACGCTCTACAAACATCCACGTGGGATACACCAAATCCACCAAAGCATTCATTCACTGAATTACCTCCATCACTTTTTTCACGTCACATCTTTTATAGTTTACCACCAATCCTTTAATTATGACTTTTATAATTAATCATCCCGAATGCTACCTTCTAAATGACACCAGCAGCCCTGTAATACTACAACAACTCAAAATAAGCAAACAGCCCAACAATTACCTTGAAAATAATGTAGCTGTGTTGATGCTTATTGTGCAGCATATCGTAGGCATTTTTGCATGACGGATCGATCTTCACTCCAGATGCCTGAATTACTACCCTCACATTTCCTCTGCCCACACGTCTGCACCGATTTTCAGTGCAGCCGATTTCCATAAATCATTTCTCTTTCATATATCCATTAAATCTCTAGCTCGAATCTCAAAATTTTACGAGCATGGCTCCTTCTAGTATCAGTAAATCAAATCAAACCATGCGAGTGAGTAAATCACATCAAAGAAATAACTGTCTATTTATTTGAACGCGCACAACGGTTATTATCACACAAAACGAAAACAATAAAACATTTAAAAAAGGAATTTTATAAAAGAGAGAAGTCACACCGAGACAGAGCAATCTGAATAGCAGCGGTTTCCTTTAAATAAAGCGCGAGCGAGCATTCTGAATAACTTAACCGGGTACAAAGAACACATGCGCGCCCCCCGATGAAATAAGACGCCTGCCTGCCTGCTCTCGGCCCTCAAATGCACCCTAATTGAACCTTTATCGGGGGAGGAAAAGAAAAAGAAAACGAGACGCGGAAAAAAAACAGGGAGGAAGAAAACCGTTCGTGTTAGCATACGAGACAAAAAGAGGCACACGCAGAGAATTGTGATGATGATGATGATGCTGGTTGTGGTTATACACAGACGCAACACACAACACACTCGCTTTAGAATGGGCGTGTTTTGGTGGACTATCAACAGAATGCTTTAGAGGAGAGCTTAAGTGAGATATATACGAAAAACTTTGAAAACACGGGAAACGGGCGATGACAAGTGAAACACGCCGTGGTAACAATAATCGTCGCAGTTGCAAGCGCACTCGTTAGATGAACACCACCAAACATGCTTAATTGTCAGCATATTTCTCCGTCAGCTTTGACAGCAGCTCCTTGTGCGACATTTCTGACTCATCCGACACCTGCAAAAGAAAACTCTTGAATGTGCTGATCAATTTTGGGCTCTTTGAAAAAATATTGTCGTTTAGCAACTAGAAGAGTTGAAACCCTTTGAGGAAATTTGCTGACCTGGATCAAAGCAAACATCCTACATATAATAGCCTGGTGTGTAGTAGCATGGAGGGGGGGGGGGGGCACTGTGGTGCAGAGAGCTCAAGCCATTCAAAACCAAACTTTTCTTTTCATTGAAATTTAAAGAGAAGCTATACCACCAAATTTCTTTTTTGCACGATAGAATTGACTCATAAACGCCGAAACCGCTTCCGCGTTCTAAACTGGCGAAAGAGTAATTCGCACAATTTACTGCACCGAAATCACCCATACGCAGTTACCACTGGCCTTATGAGTGCCTCCAACTTCAGTAGGAGAAGGAAGCCCGTGGGTGAGTGCACCACTTCCATTGTTCGAAAACAAATAAGGTAACCAGATGAACATTTCTTTGCAATTTGCTAAGTGAAAAGAAGTTTGCTGTGCATTCAAAAGTGCTGAATTCTCTGCACCGAAATGTCCCTCCATTCCCAAGTATACTTGTGCTATTCGTGATGCGCAAACTGATCGATATTTCATTCATTATGCCGGCCAATCCAAGCCGGAATTAATTGACAATTTTTGTTTCTTCACATCCCCCTCTTATCCTGTGCTAGTATACTATCGTTCGATAATACCCCCAAACGTGAGTCATCGTAATACTGCTGGTGGCACAGTGTAACAGCAGCGAAATAAACCCGTACTCCTCAACATTCACTATTAGGTCGCTTACCGCCGTTGCTTCAGCGGAACTAGCACGTAGACGACCCTCTTAAAATAGATCTCCCGAGTCTCCATAATAGTCCCTGAACCCTTGGACCTCTACAAATTTTTGCGAACTCCCTATTTATTACGCAGCAAGATTACCCTCCAACACTCTGCACAGAATGACGGACGATCCACAGCTAGAAGTGATACTTTAGAGAGCAAGATCAAGAGAAGGCTCCATCGATATAATAAAAAAAATGGGTCACCATTTACTTTGTCTGTAGACAGTCTAGCACATTTAAGACTACGCACCTGGAACTGAAGGATCTTTCCAGTACCGAGCGACGCCTTTATGGCCGATGCAGAGGACGCATAAACCATCTTTTTCTTGATAGAGGCACCATCTGGGCACCTATAACAGACAGGTTAAAAATTCCTCACAAAATTCAGGAAACTTCTCCTTGTAGCAATTCACGTGAAAAAACTCCATCTATCATTTGTACTTGAAGCAAACCTAGAAAACTTTGAACAAAAGCAAAAAAAGCTTACAGTTGAAGGAAAACGATCTTGTCCATCTTAGAAGTGCCTGCGCCTACGCGTGAGCAAGTAAACTTGAAATCGAAAACAGCGTAACGACAGTCAGTGAAGCCGTCGGTGCGTTCCTGAACATATTACCTTATTCTGCGCTCTTTTCTTGGAGGTGCAAGAACACTCACAACCTACACATTTCGTCAACACATTCTATGACTAACCTTGATGTCGGCCACAAACTTTTCAAAGGCAGCCTTGGATGAGTCATCGTAATCGTCACCAGTGAGACCTAATTCCTCTTGCGAAACGGCTGCCTCCACGACAACTTCACGCTCCTTAAAGTGAATGATTAAATCTTAGTGAGAAAAATCTTTTGGAAGACAGAGAGCTACAGAACAAGGACAAATGAATGTGCTTGCCTAGGAGAGAATTTTCTGCAACGAAGTCATTAGGCTTCGTTGAAGTGATAGAAAGCGCTCTAATAATGAATTTGCAACAACTGAGCTAACATGAATGAAACCTTTTTTCCTGCTTCGTCATTTATCTAGAAAAAGTATTAGTAAGATAATAGGTCTCCGAATACGTTTTACGCACTAACAAGAACACGTCCTCATAAGTCATCTCAGGTTCAGCGTCTTTACTCCAGATTTCTTGTCTCCGAAGACCGTGACACCCAACCTTTACACCACTTATTTCCTCACAACGAGCCAAAACAACGCTTTTCCGGCTGCTCACGTCTTTGATGGGGGTGGGGCAATCAAAACATGGGTGATGGTGCGTCACACAAGCACCAAGCCAGGAGAGGGGAGAAACGCCAGGGAATACCAAGTGACCTACATACTCCCACGGAATCCCTTCCCCTCCCTGGGGCCTATCTCGAGCATAGCAATTGGCTTACTCACTTGAATGTGAATGAATGAAAAATAAGGATCTTAAAGACATCTGTCACCTCTACTTTTCCGCCAGATGAACTGCACCACATTTGCCCTTGTTCTTGAAAACTATTCTACAAAAACAGCGGAAACAACAATTTGCTTAATTTAGGTAAAGAAAGTGATAATGCTCTCACCTCGATTTTGAAGATTATGTATCGGAATTCTTTCTTCCCTTCGCTTAGTTTCTGGAACGTGGACTGCACGTCAGGGTTGACCATAACACCGGAAGTCGACTGAAACCGTATTAGACACACCATTCACAGAGCAAAACACACCATGCAAATCTTTTTGACTATACGTAAATACACGTCGAAGCAACCAAATCAGAAATCTCTGAAAAGTGAAAATTTAAAAGGTTGTAATTCAACGAAGTTATACGAAACGATGCAGTCGCATCGCAAACAGATCGAGCAACGGTTAGTGTTTACTGGAACCACGCTACTAGCCCAATTTTTCTCAAATTAAATTTTAAAAATAGGCAAGTCTACACTTCAAAAAAATCGTACCATTTTGGATTATGTAGTTGCGGTGAGGCGAAAAGCAAACCAACCGAGCTTGAGAAGCCTGAAAAACGAATGGCTACTAATGGATGGTTCATACGCAATCTTATCGATACTCTGAGACGAAAATTATTCGCAAGATCACAAGATGTTAACAAGATAAGTTTTATTTACGTGCACGCACGTGGGCGAGAAGCGATCGGGAGGAGCGTGTAGTTTGTGGGCCGAGGATTCACAGAAAGCAGCGCTCGCGAACAGCAGTGGTTTTCGATAAGCGCGAGCAATCAATAGCCAAGGTGATGACTAACCTTGCATTGACAGTGACTTCATAGGCACTGACACAAAGCGCTGCTGATGAAACATGGTTCAAACATTTCGAAGGGTGGCTGCTATGTCATCGTCAGATTATATGAAAAAAATGCTTCGAATGCATAAATCCAGCACTTCGGCAAGCCACACAAACAAACACTATCACACGATCGCCAGGAGATTGGAAAAATGGCTAGAATCGACACTGGGGTGAGAACGTAAGAGCTTTAACTGATGGAAACCTTCGACGATAAAACCCATTGGAATCGTTTCTCATTCGTTCACTTACTAACACTTCTCAGAAAAAAATTGCCAAACATGATCACCCTTAGCAAGAGTCAGCGTGATAACCACACCCTACACATAATCCTGTGTATCTCCCCTATAATACTAGACCACATTTCCTTCACTGATCAACTCAGTGCCATATACGTACATGAAGACAGAAAAATAACGACATTGGGACGCAGGAGGACGCTAAATTCGGGCACGGTTCGGCATGAGCTAATAACATTCCAGCGCGATTATTTCAATCATGAGACCGACAATTCAGCAACAATCTGTCGAGAAATTAATTCTCGAAAGCAGCCCTCTCTTTCGCAAATCGAACATCGGTACAAAAAACCGAACATGGCTAGTATACGCGGTGGCGTAGAAAATAGGCAACGGCTACTTACCACTCACACGGTCTGAGAATCCTACACCGAACCAAATCCCACGAAGACCAACCCAACCTTTCCGTCCCCTTTCCGCTCGCATGTTGGTACCAATTGGTCGTACACTGACTGACCTGTACATCGCCCTACCGCTGCATGTACTTTTTAAGACAAGTATAAATACGATTAAGAATACGAATGGATCTAGAATACATGGCGCATCCAGTGGCCGTGTCCTATCCTCTCTCAGGCTAGCAGAACGAAAGTCCTTTGAATTTATTTATTTCAAAAACAAACATCCCTTACTTTCCGCACTCGCTTGCTTCTACACACGAATTACATTGCAATTATGTTGTTTCTCAGGGCAATTTTCGTAGGAAAGACAAAATTCAAAGACTTTTTAATCCCCTAACCTAGGAGAAGG